ACCAATAAATATCAATTAATAATTATAGTTACTAACTGTTTCCAGCAACTAAATTAAATAGAGCCACCAAAGTCTTCAGTTATTAGATGAGGTTTGAGAAGAGTATTCTTATCTACAAGTTTTACATGTTATTCAATTTTTAATTTCTACACAAAAAAGAATAATATTAATTTTAACCAAAAAAACCTTGATTAAAGGATAAGGTTAAAAGTTTATACAATAATATGTCACACTTAAAAAATGAATTGAAAGTTACACCAACCACAAGAATTCAGTGATGTGGCATCTTAATCCTGATTTCGAGCTCAACCACTAGTTTTAATTCCCCATTCCCTATTATAGTTGTAATTTAATTGCCTTTTTTTTAAAAATGAATTAAAAATTACAATTGAAAACCACACGGCACGAATTATAAAAAATTATCAAGCTTGTGCAGTAAATATTCAAAGGACCGAAACTTCATGCCAAATACCTAAAACCAGAAGTCCAAGTCGCTTCTGCTGCCAGTCTCTTAGACACCCCGACAGTCAAAAGCTAAGGCAACAACAAAGTCACAACCCATTTTGGATATAAAAATATATATATATATATTTGGTAAAAGGAAGAAATTATATGCACATGTTACACGCTTTTTTTTTTTATTTTTACAAACAAGAAGTTTTCTAGTCAATATGTTTAGGTATAGTTGGAGACTCCTTAAAATCATATTGATATATTTTTTATACCAATCTAATACATTTAATTATTTTTCAAAGAAATTAATCACATTTAAATCATAAATTACTTCAAATTTATTATCTAAATCTTTAAATATAAAAAATTTCATCATTTGTTAATAAAGATTCAAATCTATATAATTCTTACTTCTTTTTCCTATAAATTGAATCACTTATATTGTTTTTGTAAAAAAACTTTACTAACTTACCTACTAGTAGTATGAAGAGGCTCAAGTTTGTACTTTATTATTAATAATAAACTTAAAAAAATAATTAATTAGGTGAACTATCTCCGTACGTTATAAATAAAACTCTTTTTTGTTTGTTAATAAAAAAAATAATTAAATTCAAAAAAGGGCTAAGGCTTTTGTGCATCAAGCTTGGGTTTGGAAGACACTCCCGAGAGAAGAATTTCGATCCTTAACTTGGGATCGACTGAATCAATCTAAGCATTTCTCTGTACAAACCTTCAACGTACACATCATATCGCTTAATTATCTTAAAGAAAACATCAAAAATGTACTTTTCATCAGTACGCATGTATATACATGACCTTTGTGTGCAAAGGCAAAGGCAAAGCCATTGCCTATTTTAAAAAATAAAATAAAATAAAATAAAATAAAATAAAATAAAAGCAAAGGCAAAGGCATACCGTCTTGGTTCTTTATGTTGTTGGCAGAGTAACTTAATTAATCTTTGTTACTGGGAACATGTTATAAAGGTTAAAGTATCTCTTGTAAGTTGTAACAAAACTTTAATTTATAGAGTTAAAAGTAGCATTATCTATGTTAAAGGTATAATGATAATTTCAAGCCTAAATTGACAACCTTGTCCATCTGTTTGAACTAAAAATTTACTATTTATATTTCTATAATTGTAATAATAGTAATATTAAAATTATAATGTCATATGTAATTATAAAGTTATAATTATTAAGTTAGTCTTCAATAGAGATATAACAAAAAAAAACATATGATTTAAATATAAAGAAAGCCATTTCACTTATAATCAATTAGTTTTAAATTAGATATAAATTTTTTGTTAAAACTTACATAATTTTTATAATTTAAATTAATAAATGCATATGATATCACACTATAAATAAATCTTTAAAAGAAACAACTAATTATATAATAATATATTATGTTGTAAATTTATTATACTACATGATATTATAAGTATATTATTTTTGTAACAATAGTAATTCTTGTTCGCCACTAATTATAAATTAATGTATATATATTGCACGCGAAGGAACCTTCTAAGCTGTATAGCATGTATGTGCATATGGTAAACGTCAAAAGGCATCAAGATTGACTGAGAAATTAAAGAGAGAGTCAAGAAGCAGTGTGCATATAAGTAGTAGTCTTCCTTCCACGTGAAAATGGCAAAGGAGGAAATTAAGGAAGCATCCTTGACGCCGGATAAGTGCGCACACAGCACACCGAATTTTGTTACAATTCATGTGCAAAACTTCTCATGGAAATCGCTGAACTTTTGACTAACTCAAAACTAATATGACCCATCATTTTGCCGGTTCTTGCTTTCCTTCCCCCTTCGTCCCTCACACGTTTGCTCCACTTTGTGGCTACTCCTCCTTTTCTTTTTTCTTTTTTCCTCTTAAGTTTCATTTATCATAAAATAGTTATTTGCAATCTAATATTGTTGCCAATAATTTAAATGATTAACTGCTAATTAATTAATCTATTTTTGATTGAAATAAGAAAGTTTGAAATTGAATCATAAAATTTCTAATAGAATGGTTAAAGAAATAAAAGAAGTTTAAATTATTATATTACTATATGAAATTTATACTTTACAATTTAAATTATACTAAATTACAAAACAAAAATAATTGGATGAAGTGGAGGAGTCACAATATCAAAGAGATCGCCCCTCATCCAACAATCTTTATTATGTATAGTATAAACTACATAATAATTTTTTTATTATATATATATTACTATATAATAAAAAAATTATTGCAATATCTCTAAATTAACTTATAAGTATCCCCTCTAAATCAAAAAATTGTTATTTGTAATGAACGCAAAGTACTTTTTAAAACTAATTTTCTCCATTCTGCACGGATGGGTGCCTGAGTAATAATTTAAAGGAAGAAAGATTTGATAAATCTCATGTGGGTATTTTTTATATAAAAGTCGGTTAGAATTTTAGTTGTTTGGTGGCTATAATTATAGGCAGCCCTTTTGACCACAATTTATGAGGACCGACCTTTCCAATTTTCTAATGTCTTCATCATAGGTCATAGCACAATTTACAATCCAATTCCAACCCAAAATTTGAAAATATTATGGGGAGGAGAATGTGGAGTACCCTAAGTTTGAGACATTCTTATCTGTTCTTAAAGTCCACAAATTAGAATCTTAGACCATATTAATTTGAGAAGAATAAATTTATTAATTATTTTTAATAACTTTTATATGCATTTTTTAACGAATTGAACTTTTGAAAAAAAAAAAAAGGGAAAAATATTATAATTTTTTCTACAAAAACTTAAACTTTGATCTAGGCCAAAATTTTTACTATATATTACCAGCCAACTGAAGTTACTAGTGCTTTATATGCACTTTTCAAAATAAATTGAGTTCAATTGTCGTAAACTTCAAAATAAAAGATTTTTCCAAAGTCTTTTCCAGGCTGAGGGGCAAAAAAAATGCCTGTACAGGGCTGTTTTTGGGAAGATAAGCATTGGATTTGTCCAAAAGTCTGAGGTGGCTGGGGAAGTTAATGTGGTCCGAAGTGACCCAGCAGTGAGCTTGGGTGTGAGATAGCTTGGGGCATGAATAGGAGTCAAAAGTGATTCGAGGCGTGACCCATGGTCTTAGGGTAGCTCGTAGAGGGACGTCCCAGACGTAACTTATGATTTTTAATTGTTAAGCCA